TTAACTGTTGGACTGGCTAAAAAGACCGATCCCTATTCGGTCTTTTCGGGACTGATCCATCCCTAGAATTACGCCTGTTGATTGGTTGTATAGTTTATGATTATCTATCATGTGCTAACAATATGGTTTCTGATTGGTTGATTGCCGCATGAAAAATCCCTTGTGTTACATGATCAAAGTTATGTTTTATCAAAAAAAAAAACCGAAATTTTGGTATACTTACTACGTGTAGAATAGAAATTAACAAATTTTAGCAATTTTAGTAATTTTAGTATACTTGTGTTACATGAACAATATCCCGATTGTGATTTACATTACTGCATTAATGTTAACTGTTAATTTAGTATTATTAACGTTAAAAACATTTTAAAAAGTATGTGCTTTATAATATAAACGCGATCTTAGTACACTAGCAAGAAAAATATTCCGGAAGTCTTTAATATCTCTGTCAGATTCACACTTTTTCTCCTCAGGAAATTTTCTCTTCAGGAAATATGGCACAACAACTATTGCCGTATAAACTTCAACCTCCAAAGAACTTGTCTGCATTACATAAAACAAGTGCCGAGCTTGGTAGGTGACTGATGCCAAGAAGCTAATATAAGATGTCTAGTTAATAAAAGCTGCTGTAAAGTTCTAAAAGTTTAACATTTGCAGTGGCTTTTTCATAAGGGCTTGATCCATATAAAATTCTAAAGTTGATCTAAATTATTGAACTACGGTTAATTTTTATTCTTTTGTAGGATATCCCGATTTTTATCCTCCAAAACCAGGTCAGGATGAAGACCAAATGACTGAGGAGAATGTACAACATGGTTTCACTGGCGCTCTCTTTGTGGAACGAGAGTCTATCTCCGCACAGGATATGATGTTGGATGATATAAGAGACCCAAAAGGTCTTGAGAATCTCGGGGAGTTCATGACTGACATAATGAGACGTAAACATCAGATTAACACTTTTGAAGAGTAAGCATTTTTTATAATAAGTTGTTTATAATATGTCTAATGCTAATAGCATTTTTATTTTTCGCCGCCATAGATCTTCTCCATACACTGTACCACAAATAGTTTGGATGTCTGCCGAAAGTAGAGATGAATGGTTAAGGAAGCTGGCTGGCAATAGTCCACTTAAAGAATTGGCAAAGAGTGTTCCGAGAGTGTATGAAAGTTCACAGTATGTATTCCATGGATACTTGTGTAGTTTATTATATTAATTCAGCCTTGGCATTTAATCCGTTACAGTGTCGAAGGCGTAACTTTGCTGGAGCTTGTTACTCAACATAGAGTTCCTCTTGCACGTGCTACTTGGTTTACCAAGATAGTGGGGATTAATTTAATTAATTCAAGAACAACTGTAGGCTAATTATTTCTATTGTTTAGGGTCTATTTCTATCTATTCCCAATTTTTATTTACATATATCGATTTAAAAACAATGTTTATTATTGACATCATTAGCATCAAGACAATTCTAACAATGCTACGCAAGAGCACAAAAAAAATTGGAATACAACATTTCACACCTTTATTCAAAAACAAGGTCGTGATTATGATCCTGATAAGTGGCGATATAGGCATGTGAATTCATAGACTAACAAATTCTGTTTATTATTTATTATTGAGTATGTTATCGATTGAATATGTTAGTAAATATATTTACCTTTATTTTCGTATTTTTTTTCGTATTCAGTATATTGCTAGCAAAATGGCAGTTTGATGACGGATTACTTGATCAACGAATTCTTAGAGCGACACTAGACAGTTTGGATAGGGCTGATCATTTAAACACCATTATTTGGTTGTGGTTTGTTCAACAATTCTTGGAGGAGTTTCAACGATCCCGAACGTTAATGAGGTTATTGATAGAAATTATCTTAAAGAAATTACAAGATGTAAGCTGTTTGTTTCCTTGCTTCTGACATTATTTGAAAACGTAATTAAAAAAAATTGTTGATATTATTTTAGATATACCAACACCCTGCAATTATTCCAAAGCTCGATATTGTCATAAAGATGCTGAAGAATATGTTACAAGTATGAATGCTTATATTTTATTATAATTAGTTTACTCGTTTTATAATCAAAATATAAATATATTCTTGTTTACTGCTATAGACTCTTTTTCTAGCCACTCCTGATATGTTTGTGTTTCCTATTTGTTGGAACACATACAAAGACCTCTTGCGATGTGTTTTTGTTGAAGATAGTTCTGTTAAATCAGATATTACTATACCAAAAAATATGAAACGACAAATGGAAAGATATTACGAATTGATACGTGCTAGGAATGAGGTATTTGATAAAGAAAAACCAGACATGATCGGGAAAAGAAATGCACAAGAATTACAACAATCTAGGATAATTGATGTAGGTGTATTAACATTAGTGGTGTGGTGTACGAATGTTTATGTATACGTTTGTGTCATGAAGATTAATAATTTTATTAGATCCTAGATAAAGTTGGTCTCCATGCTGACTATCAAAATATTACAGCAGAATACTTTCGTACCAATAGTAAATTTCCAATGTTAGAAAAAGAAGTATCAACTCATATTTACGGGTTATGTTATTGGGCTGTAACTAAACATCGTGCCGGTGATTATCGTATTTACTCTGTAAGCACTATACTCGATATATGGAAAAACGCTATGACAAATGCAGATGAAAAATTACAGCGTCAGACTACAATTCAAAACTCTTTAATGGATTTTTTGGATATTTATCCCCTTGGCTGTAATGGAATATGTGAAAAAGATGGTAAACTATTTTCACGTTTCATACCTCTAAAATGAGAATATTATATTCGTATGGACATTCTGTTATTATTCTTATCCGGTATGTTATTTTAGAATGCAATATAATTGCGGGATTATTTGGTGAACTTATTCGCAATGGACATTTTTCTCATCAACGTTATTTACAACGTCTGATCGCAAGGGGAGATGTTCTACATGAGAGAAGGACATCAGAGGTATTTCAATTCAATATTGTTGTTTGCTTAATCAATTTACCCTAAATTATTTTTCTTTACGTTAATTGTCAATATATTATTTATAGAGGTCAAAAAGGCACTTGAAATATGTAAAATATTTCCCACTCTTTAATACAGAACTTCATCATTTAAATCAGAGACGTGTCATTTTACATAACGTTAATTGCAATGTAAGCTATTTATTTTTTATGTTCTGGTTAACTGTAATATTTAGATGTTCAAATTATTTTATGATTGGATAGAACACTAACGATGAAGATGATTATGAATCTATGGTCATGAAGATAAAAGATAAGCTTCCATACATGTTTTTGAGGACAGGTTTTGTAAATTTATGTTTCCTATTTATGATTATTCTATGATTACTGATTGGTTTTCAACTAATTTATTGTTCATATTACACTATATTAGATGATGAGTTAGATAGGCCGAGAATAGATGATCCAGTTTCTGATATGCACTTGGCATTAAATTTTGAACGTGAAACAATGGAATTTATGTGGAATGTGACAAAATTTTGTCAGATAAAAGTAATACAAACGTGGCTTCTCCCGCAAGTGAAATCCTTCGTGCAAAATACCCCGTAAGTATTTTCAATTAATTTATTACATTTATACAGTGCACGACACTTAAAGACACCTAAAGTAAAACAGCCGCATATTTATATAAAAAATAACTTTTATTTATTAAAATATATGTGAGGTTGGGAATTATGCGATATAATAAATATTATACCGAATAATTTCTAACTCTATACACAGTTCACCCTGTTAAACCGATCCTATCAAAATTGATAAGAAATCAATTCATCATGTCTGTTTTATATATAGTAATTAGACCTTTTAAATTGATTCGTCCATATATATTAAGCAGTTTTTATACAATTTAAAATTCAAATTTTTAAAAAAAATTGAAAAAAGAACAATTATGATTTTAGTCTTTAAATGTCATGCACGAATATTTCTGGTACATTGTATTTAATTCGCATATTTTATAGTATTGGCCCAAACAATTGGCGTAATCCGACACAACCTGGGTCATCAATGTTAAATGCGCGTCAATTTTCAACAGTAGTCAAAGTTATTGAACTTGCAAAAGATTATAATTCATTATTAGATGTAAGTTATTATCTCGATAATAGTTCATTTTATTTAATAATTTGCGTCACCTATATTATAACAAGTTGTTGTACTGTAGCTTCTGCTGTGGGTTCTTGAAAACTCGATGGAAAGAAGCCTATTTCAATCGATAATTGATACATTACGACGGCACGAAGTCGTTTGGGATGCTATGGGTAAATCAGAACAAGTGCTTGATGCACTTATGAAAAAGGTAATAAAGATGCATTATATCTGTGTTATTTTCAATTTTTTGATTAAAAACTTTTTTTTAAACAATAGAACGATCAATTACGTGATAAGAGGGAAATAGAAGTATGTATAGTGGAATACTTAATAAAATCCAAACACGAATTTATGAATGCTAAAAAGGGAAAAGTTCGTATCTTCCAAATACTATGTCTTTATTTATTATTTTCATATATTAATTTTATTTCATATATTAATTTTTATTTATTAGTTGGATCAAGATCTCCAATCACAAATGAAGGTCTGTAGATGTTTTGTCATTTTGTTGTAATTCGCAAGGAATTGAATTTTTATACTTTCTTTCTAGTCGCAATTAACCGTATCGCGTCATTATACTCGTTTTGAAGCTGAAGCCTGCATTAGTATAAAACAATTTTTGGGCCGTGTCAAAGCTTTGAATACAGATCCACGTTTGTTTCAGTCAGATGTCGATGGATTATATAAAATATTCGAATCACATATAAACATAATTATTGAATACACTCGTAATTACACTGATGAAAATTCCACAGAGGGTAGAATAATTCTTGGAATTTTTGGTGATCTATTTAGAGATATTTGTGATAGAACAGATGTGCTTGATATGGTTTTCAAAAAGTGGATTAAAAATAAAAGTCTTACTCGTGCAGATGAGGATAGCATTTTCGGGAGTGAAAATAATCTTTTGCTGTTTTTTTTTGTAACCCTCGTTTTTAGACATTTGATTCGCATGGAAACGATGTTAGAGAATCTCTGTGACAAGAGTCTAGCACGTTTAGTTGAAAAATCAATGAATCAAAAACAATTGGATTCAAAAGAAACAATCGAATGCAAGAATTTGGTGAGACTATTGAGATTATTACTTTTACAAGATGGTGATAATCATTCTATCAAGTTACCGTTGAGCACGATGGTTTGTTTGCTTGCTCTTTTTTTCATGTATTCGTACAATATTATTATATTTATGAGAATCTGTTATTTTATTAGGAAATTCAAGTGCTAAAATCTTATTGCGAAGAGTTATCTCATAAGAACGAATTTATTGAAATAATCTCTGCTGTTTTCCAAAAACTTGCTATTATTGAACATTTTATTGACTCTAAGGATCCGATTGTGAATGATCTTATACAATTAAGAGTCCACTTTTCTAGGATCGAGTGGTTCAGACAATTATGCATAATTAATACTGAAAGCGTATACGACCGTTTTGTGAAAGGAAAGAAATTATCAAATAATAAGGAAGTAGAAAAGCGGATTCTCAATATTATCCAAGCTGCATTAAGGGATGATAGTATAGACATTATAGGCAAGTGTTCGTTGAGTTATAAATTTTTGATTTATTACCGCTTTTATATTGATCGTTTTATATAGATGTTGCAAAGTCTTCTCAAACGGCCTCCATTTATACTCAATACCTGAAGACTATCTTTTCTCAAATAAGCTTATGGAATATACAGAAAAGCCGGATAGAATTTTGGTTATGCATGGATCAAATTATGTTAATTGATTCTGATGACATAACTCCCAACTTTAGCGAATTGCCAAAAGTTGAAAGTTTAAAAAATGCGGTTATTAATTGGCTCTGGGATGAAATAATATTAAAAAAAGAAATCGATTGTGGTTTTTTGAGTAAAATGATTAAAGGGATAAGGGAGGATGTTAGTATTGAGGTACGCGTATTCAGTTCATTTTCTCAAACTTATCGAATTCATTTTAATTTTAATTTTTTTTTTTTTTTTGAACAATTGGACAAAGTTATTTGAAAAAGGACTTTGCATATTAAAAAAATGTACAGAGTTAGTTTCCGGAATCGAAGAAATTTTTAGATCATTATTGCACCCACTTAATGCCTGGTTCGATAAAAAGTTAAGCTTTTGCGATGCTTTGCTAAATCAAATTAAGAAAATTCAAGAAGATTTTCCGAATGATCCCAATTCTATGCAGCTTCAATTTGAAAATCAGGACAATGTTTATGTGTCCAGGTGAGACTTGATATAAAATTTAATGTTATCATTGTTCAATATAAAGGTTCTTACGCAGACTTTTTCCAGCATAATTTCCCGGGTCAAATTATTGGTGCTTGGAGCACACACATTGACTAGTCGTGTAACTGAAGTTGTTACTGTAACTAATCAGACTATCGTGCGTCAAATTTCGGAATATCTCCTGATAGAGAAATTGTTTGTGACATTGGTGAATTTATTATGTGATTCGCGTATTCATCTGAATGGTGGTGGATCGGCACATTTTGATCTAATATTAGATCTTGTATCGTTTTTGCTTGATGGTATAGTGCCTATATTTTTTAACTTTGTAAATAATTCAATGAGTTTAAAATTTAACTCGTTCTATTGATTTATAGAGATGGGAAAAAATGCGCGTGCTGTTATTGTTGCAGAATTAAAGGTAGCTTTATTATCATGCTTGTCAAGAAAAGAGTATCGCCAAAAGAAAACCCGAAAATTTAAATATTACTTATATTTAAATTTTCTGGTTTTCTTTTGACGACACTCAAATATTCCAACTAATTTACTTATTCGTATTTTCTCATTTGTATTTTCATTTTAATAATCGTCAATTATGACTATGTTTTGCAGCAACCCAGCCAGCAAGTAAGTTGACTATTTAATTACTTAAATTTTATTTTTTAATCTTGCTAACCTTATCAATTCACATGCGCATATGGCAAATAGCGTCATAAAATTGACAATATCCCAGCAATATGGAGTAACAGGATAAATCGTGTGCTCCCCTTCATTTTTGTTCAAGAAACAATAGGAGAGGGCGAAGAGAGTCATACGATAGAACCTTGGAAGATGATTGAAGGATTGGGCGAAGATGATGACCTCACTAGTTCACCTATTGATTTGTCATGGTATAATGCGAAAGTTTATCCGCGGCCTAATAAAAGATTAAAAAGAGTCTATATGAACGGTAGTCAAAATTCTGCAATTAATTAGAATAAAAATCTATGATAACTGAACAATTGGTCGACCGAGTGCATTGTCAAAATATGCTGTATATTTAAACTTTTTAGAATTCATGAGCTTGGTAATGCACTATAAACGATAAAGTTGGTTTAGACATTTGAAAATTTTAGGAATAATGAGAACATTGGAACTAGTGTTATAAGTTTGGTCAAAATTTTTCAAATCGATTATCAGACAATATGTTACACGTAAAAAATTATAATAATAAAAACATAAATTACTATATGACTTTAGAATTAAGATTATTTCAATATGTTCGAATTTTGTAATTATACTACGTACTGTATCCCAAATCCAAAAAATTAAATCAAAAAAAAATAATCTCGATATTTTGTGTATTGAACTTCCGACTTACTATATATATATATAATTAATAATATAAACTAGTATTGCATAGATCTGCAATTTACTATATAGTTAAGACTAGTGATCACAAAGTTTAAAATTTTTAATTAAATTAGTAAGAACTTTTTGTAACATTGTTCGAATTAAAGAAAATGAATTGGCTTTGTAAAAAAAGTAAAATTTTAAGCCGTAACTGTTTAATTATATTAAACTAATCGTTTGACGCATAAATTGCTAGGAAAATATAGTTGGTACGTGAGATGAATAAAATTTGGTCACTAGTCTTCGCTAGTAAATTTAACGATTTTGCTGATCTATGCATATTTAAATTGCACTACCGTACCGCACTGATTAAGAGATCCCCAATTTATTGTACGTACCCCCATATAAGATACCAGGGTATTTTATATAGCATAAAATTTTTTACTACGTATAATACCCGGGTATTTTATATAACATACTTTGATTAAGTACAAAATATGCTTGGGATTGAAGGTTTGTGATTTGTGGCTTTAATCGGAATTGTAATGTAAGTAACATATGTATTCGCTTTTACACAATATATAAATTATTAAAGTGGTTTTCTATGCAATAGTGAATGTTTAACTAACATCAACATTCATTTTTATTAAAAGAGAAAACACACTTTGCATTTGAAGCATTTCAAAATATCCAATACATTCGACCTTGAGCTGATAAGATATTACAATATGAATCTTACAGCATTATACTAAGTAATAAATAGAATAAAGAGTTAACACATGTAACCTAATTAGGATTCTGCAAATACTAGACAGGGTGCTATGAAGACATAGTGTGGTGCTTAGCACATGCAGAACTCTAGAAATAATATTTTAGATAAATGCTGCCAGAAGAAAATAAGACATATCTAAAACACGACTTTGTATTATATATATTAGGGGTTTCAAAATTAAAATCAGAAAATCTTATTTTTCTGATTAATAATTCAATATAATAAAAGTGTTATTGATTTATTTTTGAAATGCATCACTTATTTGTTAATTTTGAAGCCCTCTATTACTATAAGTTTTTAAGGGCTGAATTTGTTAAATAATAAATAGTAACTTGAAAGCCTGATGGCTCATTTTCTCTTTAAATAAAAATTATTTACCAATATTTATTAAATATTCATCCAAATGTATTGTTGTAACTAATTCCAATTTTGAATAATATTGAAGTTCTTATTTTCTTTATAATAATCAATATAAACAAAAGAGTCTTCATGTATATTATTATTATCATCATCATAATTGACTGCTTCATTATCTTCATGTCTCCTTCTTCATTGTTTTTACCATCTCCTTCCTCATTGTCTTCACCATCGTCTTCTTTACTGTCTTCTTCTTCATTATCACTAGTTGTTTTAGCTTAATCTTCAATTCTTCTTCCTGGATTCATTTGATAATTAATTCAAGAAAAGTCAAAGATTAAATCATCTTTAGTTCTATTTACCGTATTCAAAATTCTACAACATTTAAATGATTTTTTAATTAGGTTGAGGTCAACAGATTTTTAAGCTTTACTAATTCAACTTAAAACTAAACTATCCCTTAGATTGTAATAGAACGCAAGCAAATTTGCCTGTGTTTTTGCACTTTTTTAGCTCTGATTTACTTTTATAAAAAATTAAAATAATTAAATAAAACTT